GCACTGGAGTCCCATATGCCCAATGATACCCTCATTCCCATTTCCTTTCCCTTTCTTCAAGCCTAGAAAAAGAGGTGGAATGGATGGAACAGAGAGCCACTTCTGTTCTTCCTGCCCTTCTCCTCAAACTCCTGTGGCTTTTTGTTTGCTTCCCTGGTGAGCTGACCCTCCTCGTCAGGCTTTTGCTGACCCCATCTCAACTCAGGAATTTGCCAGCTCATCCTTGGCATCCTCAACCCCATTTGGTTTTTTCTGTTTTTCCTATAGGAAAACTACAAGCTCTGGAGACCCATGGAAATCCCCTCTGCCTGACCAAAAAAAGAAAGAAAGAGAAACCAGTCTTTCTCCTCCCTGGTTGTCTCTGGGAAAGATTCACCAGTGAAACTAGATCCTGTTTCCCTTCATTTTTATTTACTTTCTGTTTTTCATTCTTTGGCCAAGACTCCACACTCAGGGCATTTGGTTTCTTTTTGACTCTTGATTTTAAAGGTAGTATTAATCATTGCTGTAGCACAGTCAGTCAAATGACTCTGAAAAGGGACCCCGGGGCCTCTGTTCTCAGGTGAAGGGCTAAATGTCTCTCCTTCTCAGTGTGTGTATGTGTGTATGTCCACTTAGGCCCTATGCTATTGGAGTCTTTCAGAAAGCCTGAGATCAGTAGCCAGTCCACCACTCCTGCTAGGCTCCACAACCAAGTCTTTGGAAAATGGCTACATTGGTAGATAGAGTATGGGTATTGTCACCAGCTAGTCATTGCTATCCTCCATTTCTAACCTCAGAGGGCTATTCAGTAGTCAAAGTAGAGGTAAGGAGGTATTGTCCATGGTGTGTTAACACATTTGGAGAGAGAATAGATGTTGAAAGGTCTCTTCCTGCTAGAAGTGTGAGTAACTTTGGGAAATGTCCAGGTTATTACTGTAAGTCACTTGTTGCAGACAGTATATGTAGTTTGCTGTTCATTCTCTCCCTCCCCTAAATGATAAAACAAATAAAAAATGAAATCTTGATAAGTATGGAGTCTAGAAAACAGTTTCTCTCCTAATTTTGTCTGCTAGAGGAGGGATATTAGCTTGGGTTCCAGTAGAAATATTATCCCAGATTCTGGGATGGGATTGAACCAAAAAAAAATTTGAATCCCTTTAAAGTGTTACCTCTCCCCAGCTATAACTAGAATAGGGCAACTGTGAGCTTTTCCCCTGGTTGTTGCCACCAATATTTAATATTTAATACCCTCCTCTTCCTTGTACCCCAGGGAATGAAAAATCCTGACTCTGGAGGGATAAGAACTATAGAAGTTGTTTAATGGTCCTTTTCCAGAATGAAGCATGAACAACCACAAGGATTCTGAGGGGATATAGAGGCTTACAACAAAAGTCCAGGACCTGAAAAATGGGCTTACAACAAAACCCAACCCCACAGTCCAGTCCCTCTGCCTCTTTCCAGTGCCATGGAGATCCCAGTTCCTTGATAATACAATGTCCTCTCGGGGCTCAGCCATTCTGTCAAGGACCAAGGTGAGGGTACAAGATACACACATAAACAAATATAAAGTAAAACAAAGTAACTTGAGGAGGTAAAGGTACTAACAACTGGGGAATCAGGAAAAGCCTCATGTCAGAGGTGCCATGTTTGAAGAAGGCTAGAGATTCTGTGAGGCTGGAGTGAAGAGAGAGTATATCAGTTAATCAACAAACACTTATTAAGTGCTTACTATTTTGGAGGCACTGTGCTAAAGTCAAAGGAGGTAAAGATAAAAGTGAAAAAGTCTCTCCACTCAAAGAGCTTACATTCTAATGGAGAAGACAACAGATGCACATATGAGTAGGTATAGAAAATATGCGAAATGAATACAAAGTAGTTTGGGTAGAGGGTGTCCTAATAGCTGGGTTGGGGGAGGACTATAAGAGATATCATTAAAAAGGTGGCTCTTGAACTGAGTCTTGAAGGAACCAAAGATTACTGGAGATAGAACTAAGGAGGGAATGAATTTTAGGCTTCAGTCAGTCAAATAGCTTAGAGGTAGATGAGGGACAGCAAATAGGCATTCTAATTAGACCATAAAATAGGAGAAAAGTACTGAAGTTTAAGAAGAATGGAAATATGGGAATGGTCCGGGTTGTGAAGAGCTTTAAATGGAAAATAAGTGAGTTTACATTTTACCCTAGAGAGACAGTAGGGGAATGACATGGTCAGACTTGTATTTTAGAAAAATCACTATTGCAACTATGTGGAGGATGGATTGGAGTGGGGATGGACTTGGAGGAAAGAGACCCAAAAGGAGTAGACCCTTGGAGTAACCAAGGGAAAAGTAATGAGGTTCTAAACTAGGGTGGTGGCAGTGTAAATAGAGATGATGAGACACTTAAGAGATCTTGTAAAGGCAGAAACAACAGCATTTGATAACTGATGATATGTGGGGTAAGTGAGAGTGAGGAATGGAAGATTGAGATTGTGAGTCTGGGATGGGGAAGACCATGGTGGCCTCTATGTAATAGGGAAGTTCAGAAGAGAAGTTTGGGGATGAAAGACAATGAATTCTATTTTGAACATGGTACGTTTGAAATGCTAATGGAACATCCTATTTGAAATGGCCGAGAGGCAGTTGATGATGTGGAACTGGAGCTCAGGAGAGAGCCTATGACCACATATATAGATCTGTGAGTCATCTTGAATCAATGGGAACTGATGTCATCACCAGGTGAGAGTGTAGGAAGAAGAGACGAGAGGGCCCATGACAGAGTCTTGGGTACACTTAGAGTCTGACAGGAATGCAGAAGATTCAGAAAAGAAGACTGAGAAAAGCAGTTGGACAGGTAGGAGGAGCACTAGAAGAGAGCTGTGTTCCCAAAGATCAGAGAAGAAAGAGTACCTAGGGAAAGAGGGATTGCAGTGTCAAATGCAACAGAGAGGTCAAAGAGGATGAAAGTTAAGAAGAGCCCACTAGATTTATCAGTTAGGATCTGGTTGTTGGTAACTTTGGAGGAAGCAATTTCAGTCAAGCGATGACGCTGGAAGCCAGAGTTCAGAGGGTTAAGAAGAGAGTGAAAAGAAATGTACATAGTTTGCATTTTGTCTCCCCCATTAGATTGTGAGCTCCTTGAGATCAAGGACTATCTTTTACCTTTCCTTGTACCTCCAGTGCTTATCAGTGTCTGTCACATAGTAGTCACTTAAATGTTTACTGACTAACTGAAGAGAAGAAAATGAGCCATTGACTGTAGCTGGTCCTTTCAAGGAATCTCGCCAAGAAAGAAGGGAGAGTTTGCATAGAAGTTGAGTGGAAGGGTTAGTAGGATCTAGGGAGGTTTGTATGTGTGTGTCGATTAGAGACTGGTACGTGTACAAACGTGAAGGAACCGATAGAAAGGGAGAGATTGAAGAGTCGAAGGGGTGAGAATGATACTGTGGACAATCTGTTGGAAATAATGGGAGGGAATGGAATCAAGGGCTCTTGTAGAGGGTTTGACCAGTGAGGACCAGGGTTAAACTTTCATCAGAGACTGGAGTAAGGGAAGAAATGGTGAGGTGTGATGTCAAGGCATTATGAGATAAAGAAGAGGGGTTACTGGGGCAACTAGGTAGTGTAGTGGACTGGCCCTGGATTCAGGAGGACCTGAGTTCAAATTCGGCCTCAGACACACATAACACTTACTAGCTGTGTGACCCTGTGCAAGTCACTTAACCCCATTGCCTAGCACCCCCCCCAAAAAAAAACCAAAACCAAAAACAAAAACAAAAACAAAAGAAGAGGGGTTATCAAGTGAGGAGGAGAGAAGATAAGGGAATTCTTGTGATATATTCTTAATTCTGGGTGTTGGAATTAAAGGCCTCAGCTGCAGTGATCAGGGGAAGGGCTAAATTTAGAGTCTTGAGGAGAGAAGAGAAAGTTTGGAACCAAAGTTGGGGTGGAGTAAAAGGATTGTGTTGCTGAAATCATTCCCCAGTTGCAGTTAGATAGTGGCCCTAGTCAGCATGATTGTGAGTCTCTCTCTAGTTCAGCAGCACACAAGTAGAAGCAGAGGGGGGTAGGAGAAACAGAGCTGAGGTTTGTTCAGGCATGAGCTTCAACAGCGGAGAGGGAGCAATTGTGTTCCAGTGAAGAGTAGAGGAGAGCGATACATCCATAGGAGAGCAAACATGGCCGTGAAAAGACTCAGAACTGTGGAAGTAAATGTTGAAAACTAAAAATAAATAAATTTATTAAAAAAATTAAAGAAAAAAAAAGAAAACACTCAGAACTATATGTCATTCGAGGGAACTAAGCTGTTTAGCCAGAACTAGAGAGAACTTGGGACTTATGCAGCTGTGTCATAGTAGATAGAGATCAGGCCTCAAAGTCAGTAACACCTGGGTTCAAATCCTGCCTCTGAAACATACTAGCTGTATAGCCTCTCAGTTCCCTCAGACAACTCTGTAAACTAGTCAATTGCAAAGTGATCCACATTGGTAGAGACAGTTTTCTTACTACAAGTTATCTGTAACACTGAAATCTCAGGTGTAGCTCAAACCTGATAGTCATCTTCAAATACCTGAAGGGTTATACTGTGGGAGAATGTTTGTACTTGTACTGAGTAGTTCCTGGGGCAGAATAAAGTCTGATGGGTTTAAATTACAGAGGGAAAGATTTTTAGCTCAATATAAAAAAGAGCTTTCTGCTGATGTAAGCTGTCCAAAAATCAAACCGTGAATTAATTCTCTGTGTCATTGGAAAAGATTCATGGGATAATAATGGATAGAGTGCTGGGCCAGGGGTGAGGAAGACCTGAATTCAAATCCGGCCTCAGTTACTTGCCTACCTGTGTGGCCCTGGGAAAGTCACTTAACCTCTCCTACCTCTGTTTTCTCAACTGTAAAATGGGGGTGGTGATAATAGCACCTACCTCTCAGGGTTGTTGTAAGGATCAAATGAGATAATATTTGTACAATACCTGGTATATAATAGGGGTTTAATAAAGGTTTGTTTCTTCCCTTACATTTAGTCCATTTCCCTCATTTTACAGATGAGGAACCTGAGGACAAGGGAAGTTGATTGACCTATGCCAAGATCACACAGCTAGTAAGTGTCGGATGCAAGAAAGGAACCAAGGTCCTCTAATTCCAGAGAACAACAGTGAGTTTGGATGATGCCTATTAGGGATGCCGGGTAGGACCTTCCTTTAATGGGTGAGCAGCTGGACGTGAGGATGCCAAGGCTTCTTTCACAGTTTCAGATCTGGTAAGTCTCTGATTTGCCCTGAGAATCAGAGCTGATTCAGGATCCTGGTCTCCACTCCTCCCAAGAGGCTAAGAAAGAAGTTGCTCATGAACTTGTTTGACCAAACTGCTGATTGACCTATGAAATGATTGTTACCCAGTAGAATGCAAGGTTCTTGAGGACAGGGGACATTTCATCTATGATTCTGTCAATTCAATTGCATTTAAGCACCTCATGTATTCCCAGGGGAGTACAATGTGCTTAAACGGAATTGAATTGAAGGTGAAGCCTGCTTCTTTTAAAAAAAAAAAAATAAAGTCTGCCCAGGGACAGACTCAGCCTCTGGCTTTGAAGAAGCCTTATTTTCAGGGTTACTAAGACGTCTTAGTAGTGAGAGATGGAGTTTCTTAGTTTAGGCCTTAAAAAATGGACTTTGAGCAGCATAAGGCTAAGGTGCCTAGTCCTGGGCAGTGGAAAGCCTGTGTGAGATTGGCCTCCCACAGTCTAGTTGCGCTAGATATGTGAATCTCATATTCTAACATATCATAGATTTAGAACTGTAAGCCAAAAAAAAAAAAAAAAGAATTGTAAGCAACCTTAAAAGTCATATAATCCAACCTCCTTTTAAAAAATAAACAAATAGAGGAAATAGTCACATGGGCAGTAAGGAGAGCTGGAACTTGAATTTAGGACTTTTTACTACAAATCTAAAGCAGGTGAGTGACTAGGAAAAAACTTTATTTCTGGAATGGAACTTCTAAGAGATTTCTGTTTACCCATTTAAGACTTATGCAGCTGTGTCATAGTAGATAGAGATCAGGCCTCAAAGTCAGTAACACCTGGGTTCAAATCCTGCCTCTGAAACATACTAGCTATATAGCCTGTCAATTCCCTCAGACAACTCTATAAGATAGTCAATTGCAAAGTGATCCACATTGGTAGAGGCAGTTTTCTTACTAGAAGTTATCTATAACACTGAAATCTCAGGTGTAGCTCAAACCTGATAGTCATCTTCAAATACCTGAAGGGTTGTACTGTGGGAGAATGTTTGTACTTGTACTTGTACTTGTACTGAGTAGTTCCTGGGCTCAGTAACTGGCGGTCACCCCAAAATGCAAAAGCATTTTGCTCAAATAATATCATCTCTATCTTACAGATTCAGAGAACTAAGCCTCAGAGAAGTTAAATGACTTCCACAAAGACAGAAAACTACAGAATGGAAGAACTGGGACTTGAACCCAGGTCTTCTGACTCCAGATTCAGTGTTTTTTCCATAGCACACTGCTGAGATCTGGATAGGATTCTGAAGAAGCTTGCATAATTTGGTTCATTGGCTACAGGTGGGAACTTGAATGTTTAAGGGTAGAGACTTCTTTCAATGGCAGCTAGGTGGTGCAGTGGATAGAGCCCTGGGCCTAAAGTCAGGAAGACTCATCTCCCTGAGTTCAAATCCAGCCTTGAACACTTACTAGCTGTGTGACTATGGGTAAGTCACTTAACCTTGTTTGTCTCAATTTCCTCACCTGTAAAATGAGCTGGAGAAGGAAATGGCAAACCACTCCATTATCTTTGCCAAGAAAACTCCAAATGGGGTCATGAAGAGGCAGACACAACTGAAAAACCTTGGTTTCTTCATTCTTGTAAAGAAAGTGTTAAACTAAATGTCCTCTAAGGTCCCTTCTACTTCTGGATCTATGATCCAATGAAATGAAATGGAGTCATGATAAATACAAAATAAGGAGTACAGACTCAATTCAGGTATTCACTCTCACTAAGATACAATACAAACTCTTAGAGCTGCACTCAGGGAAGGAGAATTCACAATTTACAGAGGAAATAAAGGAGAAGATCAGAAACTACTTTGCTCAGTTATATGTTAACAGAACTAATAAATTGGAGGAATATCCTTACAAAAGCTGGTAACTGACAAAAATTAAACCATCCAGATTGACAATAGAAGAAATATACTATTTCAATAATCTAGTGTCTGAAAAATGAATTGAACAAGCCAGTTCAGAAAAATTGTTGAGAAAATTGAGGCAAATAAAATCTAAGTGACTTGCCCAAGGATGCACAGAAATGCCTGCAGTCAGATTTGAGCTCAGGTCTTCCTGATTCTAGGCTTAGCATACTAATCACTGCATTATTTAGCTGCTTATAATAGTGGAGGGGAAAGTAGAAGGAAGAGGCTTATCAGTAACAGATCTCAAACTATACCATGAAGTTCAGGTTAAAAATTAGAGGTCTATTAGTAGAAAAGAATAAGTGTATAGCATATAGATACAAATAAGCACAGTGGCATAGTGCTTTATAGACTTGAAAACCTTAGTCACTAGAGGAGAGCCTCATTATTTGACAAAAACAGCTGGGAAAACTGAAAGCCATTTGGCAGAAATTAGGTATAGACCAGTATCACATACTATACGCCAAGATAAACTACAAGTGGACACATGACATGACTTATCCAAATGGATTACATTATACATTAAGGTAATATAAGCAACTTGGGGGCATCAAAGAAATTACCTTACAGAATTATGGATAGAGAGTTCATCACCAAACAAGTGACAGAGAGGGTCACAGAAAATAAAAGGGACAATTTTGATTACATAAAATTTAAAAGTTTTTGCACCAACAAATCTAACACAGTTAAAATTAGAAGGGAATCAGGTGACTGAAAAATATTTACAGGTAGTTTTTCTGATAAAGGTCTCATATCTAAGATATATAAGTGGTTCAAATTTATAAGACTAAGAGTCATTCCCCAATATGTCAAAGAATAAGAACAGGCATTTTTCTTTTCTTTTCTTTTTTTGTTGAGACAATCGGAGTTAAGTGACTTGCCCGGGATCACACAACTAGTAAGTGTCAAGTGTCTGAGGCCAGATTTGAACTCAGGTCCTCCTGACTCCAAGGCAGAGCTCTATCCACTTCACCACCTAGCTGCCCCAAACAGGCATTTTTTTTAAAGGAAAAACTCCATACTATCAACAACCATATGAAAAAATGCTTCAAATCTCTATTAGAGAAATGTAAATTAAAGCAACTTTGAGATTTACCTCACACCCATCAAATTGGCACAGATGACAAAAGAAGAAAAAAACAAATGTTGGAGGGGCTGCAGAAAAACAGGCACACTAGAGTGCTTGTGGTAGAGATAGGGATTGTTCCAACCATTCAACAAAGCAATTTGGAACTCTGCCTCCAAAGTTACTAAACTGTGAATACCTACCCTGTGAATCATCTACACCACTATTAGGCCTACATCCTAGAAAAGATCAAAATAAGAGGAACCTTATATGTGTGAACCTTATAATGTATGAAAATATTTAGAGCAGCTATTTTTGTGGTAGTCCCAAACTGAAAACTAAAGGAGTACTCATCTATTCGGGAGTTAGCCATTCCCTAATTATGTTACATAAATGTATTGGGGTATTATTGTGCTATAAGAAATAATGAAAGAGACAATTTCACAGGAAACCAGCAAGACCTCTATGAACTAATATAGAGTGAAGTGAACATAAGTAGGGGAAAAATTTATATAATGATAACATTACAAAGAAAAAAACTTGAAAACTTGAAAACTCTGATCAATGCAATGATAAATTACAAGTCCAGAGAATCGAAGATGAAACATGCCATCTACCTTCTACCAGGGAGGATTCAAAATACAGAAAATTCAGAATGAGACATATTTGGGACACGGCCAATATAGAAATGTTTTTCCGGATTATGCATATTTGTCATGAGGGTTTTATTATTCATTTCCCTTTTTTTTATTGCTTAATGGGAAGAGAGGAGTGGGGAAAAGATAATACATGATTGTAAAAATTTTTAAAATGTTAAAGGGAAAAAAACCTTAAATTGCAAGATGACTTAGAGGATTTATAAATCTAAAATGCACCTATTCTTTGGTAAAATTAGAAGTAAATTAAATCCTATTTCTTAGGATACTGCTAACCCAAATAAAACATTTTTACACAAATAGGAATCCTGACTTAGCCTAAGGCTTCTTTGATTATAGAATGCAACTAGCCCTGAAGAGTAGAAATGAATAAATATGATGGTCTATATTTTTACATATAGGTTCTAAAAATATCAGCCTGAAAGAACCATGTCATTCTCACACTTCAAAAGGTTCAAAACAGTAGTCCTTCTAACAGAAAGCCTTCATATTTTGAAATGCATATGTTCTCTGTCATAGATCATGTTTATTTGGTTTCTTAAAATATTTACTTATCCAAAAAGTGATTTCTTTCTAGACCCTAGTTCTGGGATCCCATGCTAATTTGCAGTCATTTTAAGTATAACTACATTATGCAGTATTTCAAACTTAATGAATTTTAAACTTAAGGCAAATTTGTTACATAAGGTGAAGGACTGAACTTGAGGGACATTCAGGCCAATGCATGTCGTGTCTTAAATCAGAATTCCCTAGACAGTCAATATAAAATAATGACAAAAGAGCTCTACGCAGGGAAACATAAACATATACTCAAGGACTTAAATAGTCCAGTGAGGAACTCTTTTGTCAGCCCTGTAGTTAGACCTGAAGGAGCAGTCTTTCCCTTCCCTACCATTGACTTGCGTTGCTGTCTCTACTGCCTTCAATCTTCTGCCAAGTCATATATTTCTTCCCACAAAACTTGTCACCAACAACCAGATTGACCTGGAGAAACAAAACAAAACATAGCAACAGCTCCAGGAGTCTGTGTGCACACCTCTAGATCATGATTTATTTAAAATGTTTAGAAATAAAGGCTTGAACAGATTCCAAAATTCCAACAGAAGCCATGCCTGGTCCAAGCTTCTGTTCTCAAAGGATATTACAATTGAGGTTGGGGGGAGAGCAGGCTAGAGGAGGAGTTTTGTTATAAAACTAAAATAACAAAACTCTTATGTTGGTAGCACCCTAAGTTTACAAAGCATTTTCCCTCTAACTCCTCTATTAGGTAGATAATACAACTTTTAATAACCCCATTTTATAGGCCAAGAAAACAAGACTCAGGAAAGTTAAGTAA